TCCAAGTAGCTGGAACTACAGGCGCGCGCTACCACGCCCTGCTCATTTTGATTTATTGTAGAGATGAGGTCTCGCCAAGTTGCCCAGGCGGGTCTCGAACCCACGGGCTCAGGCAATCCACTCACCTCAGCCTCCCAAAGGCACGGGATTACAGGCTGAGCCACCAAGCCCGGCACTAGAACTTATTTTTTCCATCTCACTCTTTGTGTCTACTAGTAAGTCTCTATTCTTCCTCGTCCCCATCCCTCCCAGTCTCTGAAAACCATCACTTTACTCTACTTTCATGACATCAACTTTTGAAATCCCAATGTGAGTGTAACATGTGATGCTTGCCTTTTTGTGCCTAACTTATTTCACTTAACATAATGACCTCCAGTTCCATCTGTGTTGCTGCACATGAAAGGATTTCATTCTTTTTATGACTGAATAGTATTCCATTGTGATATATATCACATTTTCTTTATTTATTCATCTGCTGATGGCCTTGTAGGTTGATTCCATATTTTGGCTATAGTGTATAGTGCTGTGATAAACATGGAAGTGCAGGCTTCATTTTATTCAATGGAGTTCCTTTCCTCTGGATAAATACACAGTAAAAGAATTGCTGGATTGTATTGTAGTTCTATTTCTAGTTTTTTGATAAACTTTCATGCTGTTTTCCATAATGGATGTACTAATTTACATTTCCACTAACAGTGTATAAGAATTGCCTTTTCTCCACAGCATCACCAGTATTTGTTATTTCTTTCTGTTTGATAAAAATCATTCTAAAGGAGATTTCATGGTGGTTTTGCTTTGAATTTTTCTAATGATTAGTGATGTTGAATAGTTTTTCATATTCCTGTTGGCCATTTCTATGTCTCCCTTTGAGAAATGTCTGTTCAGATTCTTTGCTCACTTTTTTTTTAACCAACTAACATATTTGTGGCTGAACACAATAGAAATTTATTTTTTCCTTACATAGTGTCCAAAATTAGTGCTCCTATTGGGCAGATTGTTCTCTTTTAGGAACCCAGCCTTTTTTCATTTTGTGATTGCTCCAGCTTCAAACATATGGCTTCCAAGGTTGCAGGCAAAAAGGTAAAGAACATGGAGGATTGTGCCTGTGATGTTTTCATAAGCCATAGCTGAAAAGGTATATTGCATTCCTATCCACATTTCGTTGGTTCAACTCAGTCACATGATTTTGTCTAACCATGAAGAAGCCTGGGAAATGAAGTTGATGACATTTGTAGGAGGAGGAAATGAATTTGGTGAATAGCTAATAGCCTTTGCCACAGATCTCTTTGCTCCTTTTTTAATGGGATAATTTGTTGTTTGCTGTTGAGGTTTTTTTTTTTTTTTTAGATCCTTCTGTATTTTAGATATTAATTCCTTGTATAATAAGTAATTTGCAAATATTTTCTCTTATTCTACAGGTTGTCTCTTTATGTATTGTTTCCTTTGCTCTGAAGAAACTTTTTAGTTTAATATAGTTCCGTTTGTCTTTTTTCATTTTTGTTGTTTGTGCTTTAGAAGTCTTAGCCATAAAATCTTTTTTCTAGAACAATATCCTGAAATGTTTCTCCTGTTTTCTTCTAGTAGTTTTATAGTTTCCAGACTTTCTTTTTAGACTGACTTTTGTATATGGTGAGAGAATGGGTTCTAATTTCATTCTTCTGCATATGAATATCCAGTTATTTCTAGCACCAGTGTACATCTTGGTACTTTTGAAGAAAATCAGTTAGCTATAAATAGATGTATTTATTTCTCGTTTGTCTATTCTCTTCCATTTATCTATGTGCTTGTTTTTATATCAGTACTTTACTGATTTGGTTCCTACAGCTTTGTAGTATATTTTGAAGTCACATATTGTGATGTCTTCACCTTTTCCCTTTTTTTTCCTCAGTATTGATTTGGCTATTCAGGGTCTTTGTGGCTGTATTTATGTGAAGGATATCATTGAATTTTTGATAGAGATTGCATTGAATCTGTTGATTGTTCTAGGTAGTCTGGTCATGATAACTATTAAATCTTCTACTCTTTGTACATTGGATGTCTTTCCATGCGTTTGTGTCCTCTTTATTTCTTCTATGTTTTGTAGGGTTTTTTTTGTAAAAGTATTTCTTGTTGCAATTTTTTTAAAGGGTTTTTTTTTGTAGCTATTGTAAATGGGATTGTTTTCTTAATTTCTTACTCAGCTAGTTTGCTATTGGTGTATAGAAAGGCTATTGATTTTTGTATACTGATTTTGAAATTTGCAATTTTTCTGAATTTGTTGATCAGTTTTTTTTTTTTTGGTGGAATATTTGATTTTTCTCTATATAATGGGATGTCACCTATAAAAAGGGACCATTTGAGTTCTTTTCTAATTTGGATGACTTATTTTTTTCTCTTGCCTAATTGCTCTTGATAGTATTTTCAGTACTGAGTTGAATAAGATTGGTCCAAGTGGTATCCTTGTCTTGTTCCAGTTATGGGAGGAAAGGCTTTCAGCTTTTCCCTATTCAGTGTTTGTTGGGAGAATTTGGATTATGGATTCAGTCTAATTACTTGTTATTGGTCTGTTCAACTTTTTTGTTTCTTCCTGGTTCAATCTTGGTAGATTGTATGTGTCTAGGAATTTGTCTATTTTTTTTTGTGTTTCCAATTTATTAGCATATAGCTGTTCATAATAGACTCTAATGAACCTTTGTATTTCTGTGGTGTTGGTTGAGGTGTCTGTTTTTCATTAATTACTGATTTATTGAGTCTTTTATCTTTTTATGTTGGTTTAGTGCTTTATCAGCTTTATTTATTTTTTCAAAAAACAAATTTCAAAAGACTTGTCTTCAAGTTCAGAAATTCTTTCTTCTGATTAAGCTAATAGTCTATTATTGAAGCTCTCAATTGTATTTTTTATTTTATTTATTGAATTCTTCACTTTCAAGATTTCTGTTTATTTCTTTTAAAAAATTATTTCTATCTCTTTGTTGAATTTCTTATTCAGATTATGAATTGATTTCCTGATTTCTTTATACTGTTTGTTTGTGTTGTCTTGTGTATCACTGAGTTTCTTTATTATCATTATTTTGAATTCTTCTCAGGCATTTCATATATTTGCTTTTGTTTTGAATCTGTTACTACAGAATTTTTGTTAATTTTCCTTTACAGGTGTAATTTTTCTTTTATTTTTTTCATTTTTCTGTGTCCCTACTTTAATATCTGCACATTTAGTGTAAGTTATTTCTTTCAATTTTATAGATTGACTTTCATATTGAGAATTTTTCCTATAGATGTAGTTATACTGAGTTTGGGTAGGGTGCTTTGGCTTTGTTTTTTGGCGAGTTCAATAGTGTAGTCTCCATGTGATTTCTTTGGTTGTTATCAATATCAGTGGTGTTTGTGAACTCCTCAGTGGCTTACAGTGGTTATTAGTGGAGTCTGTGGCAAAGCTTTGCTGGGGATGAGGATTCCAGATATGCTGATTCTCGGTAACCAGTTATGGTAGTAGCAGGCAGTGTTTGCTGGTCCTGCTTCTCTAGGTGGCATACATAGTTACTGGCAATAGTGATTAAATGGGCTGTTTTGGCCTCCAAAAGCAGAATTGCTTCTATGTATATTTTTGATGTTATCTGAGCTTTCTGAACACAGCTATTCTGAACTCCCTTTGTGGGTTCATATATCTCCATCTCTCCAGGTTTGGTCATTGATGCCTTATTTATGACACTTGGTGAGGTCATACTTCCCTGAATGTTCTTAATGCCTATGGATGTATATAAATGTCTGGGCATTGAAGAATTTGGTTTTCGAATGTTCACAATCTGGCCTTGTTTGTACTCATCTTTCTTCAGAGGACCTTCCAGAAGTGCAAACGTCCCTGATGGATGAGTTCTCTAAGCCTGTGTTCACTGGAGCCATTTCAGCACTAGATGGCACCCTAGGCTGAGTTATGTGTTGACTTTTTGGAATCATATATATTCATATATGATCATCAGTTTTTGTATGAAAAAATTCATCAGCCCTGATGTTTTTGAGGAATATCAGAAAGAGTTCCCTGGGTTCCCAAGCAAAGTCCTTTGCTCATATCTCTCTTCTTTCCACTAGCAGATGGAGTCTCTCCACACTGCACTGACTGGAGTTGCAGGAGAGATGACAGATGCACTCGCATGGCCACTGCAGCTGGCACCATGTTGGGTCATACTTAAAGCTTCATGGCCTCTAAGATCAGCACAGTAATGGTTAGGGTTTGCTTGTCCAAAGTCCATGATTGCTGTTGTCTGATTGCCACTGATATTTATTCATGGCCTATGACTTCTCTCACTGGCCGGTGGTCAAGTTGGCTGGGGCTTGGTTCTGTCTTGCTGGGAAGGTTCCCTTCTGGCCTGGGGCAGGTTTAGGAGTCTGTGAGTACTGGCCTGGAATCAAGGGCCATGAGGTTCAGTTCACTGGTGTGTTTTACTGTGACTGGTACTAGATTCCCCGACAAAGTTCTGTGCATACTTCCCTTTTCTTCCCCTAGGAAGACAGATACTCTCTCTGCATTGCACTGCCTGGGACTGGGGAAAGGGTGGTACACTAGGCAATGCATCCTGCCCTCTTCAACGTGTCTTTTCTTTTCTTTTTTTTTGAGTTGGAGTCTCACTCTGTTGTCCAGACTGGAGTGCAGTGGCCGCTCCCGGCCACCACAGTCTCGACCTGCTGGGCTCCGGCGATCCTT